CTATATGTAAATCAGACTTCTACAAAGTTCTAGAAAAGGCAAACTAATCTACACCAGCAAAGTGCAGCTCAGAGATTGCCCAGGGAGAAAGCTTCGGGAGAGGCATGAGGAAACAGCTGATATGTTCGAGATCTTAGTTGTTGTCAGGATTTTACAGTGTCGTGATGACTTCATAGACCAAAATGTCAAGTGATACAAGTTGCATGTGGCTAGTTTATTGTGTGCCCATGACACCTCAACACAACTGTTAGAAGAGAAAGAAAAGAGGAGAAAAACACCATGACAACAGTAACAAGAAGAAGAAAAAGAGGGCCTGAAGCAGCTGCCACGCAGGAGAGAGAGGCAGCGGTGGTCAAGCTGTCAAGGAATGAACTTCAGGATTGTGCACTCACATTCCCGAAGGTCTGCCTTTAGCCAGCCAAAAGTAGAAGAGAGGAAGTCAGAGAGGACAGAGGGAAATAGGAGGACTGATAGCTCTAGCATCAAAAAGAAAATTAAGCTGGACCTAGTGCAATCCTGTTACCCCAGCGCTCAGGAGGCTGAAGGAGGATCATAGTTTGAAGTCAGCTTAAGCTACTTGGTGAGTTCTAGGCCATCCTGTGCTGCATAGTGAGAGCCTTCCAGGAGACACAGACAGGCATACAGACAGACTAACTGACTAGCTGACTGGGTTGGTAGAGTGCTTAATTACCACCATATCAATCCTACTAAAATTATCTTGGTCTGATAATCTATGCAGAAGATCCTTTCTTTTTATTTTTGGTGGTACTGCCATTTGAAGTTGGGACCTTGGCACTTGCTAAGCTGGTGCTCTATTGACTGACCACACCTCCAGTCCTGCTTTTTTTCTGCTGGTTATTTTAGAGATGGAGTTTAGTGACCTTTTTTGCCCAGGCTAGCATTGAACTGTGATCCTCTCAGCCTCCTGGGTAGCTAAGATTTCTGGCATGATCCACCAGTGCTAGGCTCATAGCTTTACTTTTAAAAAACAAAACCTTAGGGCTGGGAAGGTGGCTCAGTGGTACAGTGCTTGCCTTGCATGCTCGAGGCCCTGGGTTCGATTCCTCAGCACCACATAAGCAAAAAGAAAAAAGCCGGAAGTGGCGCTGTGGCTCAAGTGGTAGAGCGCTAGCCTTGAGCTGAAGAGCTGAGGGACATTGCCCAGGCCCAGAGTTCAGGCCTCATGACCGCCCCCCCCAAAAAAAAAAACTTAATCCCTCCATTCCAGGAAAATAGTTCCAACCTTTGTTCCTATCTTCAGTACATGCAAGGTATGCCATTGGCTCATGCAGACTGGCTCCTGGTTATGACCAATTCTAGGGCATCTAGAGCATTTACTTGCCTTTGGTGAAACTATTAGATAATGTACAGTGTGGCTTCACTCTGGTGAGCTAATTAGCTCAAGTCCAATAACTCTTTTTCCTGCTACCCCAGCTGGTCTCTGGATTTGAGCCCCTATCCTTTCAGACCCACGCTTGCTCCCATTCTTTCATTTCTTACTGCACAAAAACCTTACATCCATGGGTCCCATGTAAAGAAAATCAAAGCTAAATGTCACTAATAACCACAGACACTCAGGAAAACAAGTGGCTTGGGTCCTATTTATCTTTGTTTTCCTCATTCCTTTGGTTTACTTACTCATGGTTTTTATTTTCGAGGCCATCTTCCATTTATAGATAACTCACAGTTGTAAAAGATGGCTTTGGCACCTTTCTCCACCTCACCATGGTAACTGCTGCGTCCCTGGAAACCATGAGGACGATCTGGGGAGAGACAAACACTGGAGCCTCTCTTAAAGGATCTGTAAGTTCTGGACTGAAGGGATGAAACCAACTGTGAAAATCAGGGATATTTTAGGAAACTTGATTGGAGGAAAGATTCCTAAGCAGATCAGCCTGTGTGTGAGGTCAATGGCCTCGTCCATTATTTTCCTACACTGGCAAGAAACTTTCCTGTTTCTTTTTTCCTGCTGTCTTGCTGCAAATCAAAGATTATTAACATATATACGTACATATGTACATACACATACATATATAGATGTATTTGCTATAAAAATTAAATAACATATACCCTTTCAAACAGTACCTGCTACAAAGTAGGTATTTAATAGTCTATTAGTCATTAATATGTTTATTATCCATCAATATAATTATTCTCAATACTGATGCCACCAAATCTCAGTTTTCAGTCTTTTGATTAACATTTGGGGACGTCATACTTAAGGACTCTGGCTCTGAGATCTCAAAGAGATTCTCCTATTTTACTCAGTTATCTTTTTTTTGGGGGGGTGGGGCTGGTTCTGGGGCCTGAACCCTGGGCCTGGGTGCTGTCCCCAACCTTCTTTGCTCAAGGCTAGAGCTCTACCATTTGAGCCATAGCCCCATTTCTTATTCAAGTGTCTTTATCACTTTCCTCTTTCCCTCCTTTCTCTGTGGTGCAAACTAGATGAGCCCAGCCATCTTCATGCATCAAGCTGATTTCCCACCACCACCTACTAAATAAGACTTTTCCTCTTCAGCTTTGTGGTGCTGCCTTTGGTTTAGACCAAATTTCCACACATTCATACTTTTGCTCTTGATTTCTACATTACATTCCATTCACCTAGTTGTTTGGCTATATGCCAGTAGCAGATAGTTTTCACTATCATGTCTTGGTAGCATAGCTTTTTTTGTTTTTAAGCTTACATTCTTTATGCATAAGAGATAACATTTGTTTGATTTTTGTCGGTTGTGGGGCTTGAACTCTGGGCCTGGGTGCTGTCCCTAAGCTCTTCAGCTCAAGGCTAGAGCCCTACCACTTGAGCCTCAGCACCACTTCTGGCTTTTTCCGTTTATGTGGTGCTAAGGAATCAAACCCAGGACCTCATGCACACGAGGCAAGCATTCTACCACTGAGCCAACTTCCCAGTCCCGAGATAACATATCTTAACACCAGTTAAAGATCTTTTCTATTTTTCTCAGCTTTTTCCAAGTTAAATTTGTGGTTGTGGACAACATCCTTCTAAATTGTGGACTATCTCTGATTTCGTATTTGAGACTGTAGTGGCCATATTTCAAGCAAAATAAATCTTTAAATCATGACACAAAAAGTTAAACTTGTCTCAGTTCGCTAAATATAGAAAACCATCTCAAAAACTGATTTAATATAGAAAAGTATTTTGGCGTGTGTTAAAAATTATATCTGGTATTTACCACAGCGTGATTTATGATGAAATAAAACTATTAGTTTTCATCCAAAAAAAAAAAATTTCAATTCTTGAGCTGGGCGCCGGTGGCTCATGCCTGTAATCCTAGCTACTCAGGAGGCTGAGATCTGAGGATCTCCGTTCAAAGCCAGCCCGGGGCAAGAAAGTCCATGAAACTCTTATCTCCAATAAACCACCAGAAAACTGGAAGTGGGCGCTGTAGCTCAAGTGGTAGAGTGCTAGCTTGAGCTGAAATGCTGAGGGACAGCGCTCAGGCCCAGAGTTTAACCACGACCCACAAAAAAAAAAAAAATCTTCAGATCACCCTGAGTGGCTCACTGAAAAAATCAAGACTTGGACTCTGCTTGGCCCTATTAAATCTCTCAATACAATGGAGAAAAGTCATTATTATTGGGCCCCATACAACCAAATCTAAATGCTTGTTAGTGTCATCTGACATCCAGCCACCCTCCTTGTTATTCCAAACATCCACCATCAGGCCTCCTTGCAGCAATTCAAACAACTTTGGAACTGGAGTATATCTTAGTGGTAGGGTACTTGCCTAGCATGTGCAGGATTTGGGTTCAATCCCTAGAACCACCAAAAAGCAAATAAGTGGCTTTTCTTGTTCATTAGCCAAAGGAGTCATTGTCCACTTCCAGCTACCAAGAAAAAAATACCTTACATTAAAGCAACTTTTTGTCAAATCAAAGATTTAGGCATTCTTCCAAATTTTAAGAAGTGAGTTGCCAGACAGTTAAGAATTTTGTAGATTTATTTTATGATTACACTTTTTTTCTATCTTGAAAGTTGTTAAAGTGAAAACTAATCATATTTTTGCATACATCTTTACACATTATATACACTTGAGAAATAAATAGTATTCCGAGTAGCATTAAAAAAGCATCGTTATATACAAATAAGGTTTCAAGCCAAATGGATAAATTCTTGACCCTCTGAGGATTCAGTTCTCAATGCTTCCATTACAAAAAATGGAAGTCAACAGTAAACAGGGTGATGGCCAGTAAAATAAGCTTCACTTTGGCTAGAAAGCAATGGTAGAAGCACACAGATGGACCAACAGCATACTCAACTAGTTATATCATCAGACGTTTGGCATTAAAAAAATAGTGATACAACTTTGGCACAATAAAGATGCAAATAATGTCCCTTCAAAACCTAAGTACAAAAAAAATGCTCTATCACCCACACCTGATTATCATACTTCCTCTTATACATCTCACTCATAAAAATACCCAACCCCTTGGCACAGATATTTCCTGGTTATATATTAACTAAAGGATTTAGGATTCTATGGATGGCTCTGAAAATAAACCTTTACTTATCACATCTGGGGTACATTTGTAGGAAATGATAGTAGGCATCTTGATGGAGTTTCCAGAACTTTGCCTCCAGGAAATCTGGGTTCTCAGCTTGGCCCCTCCATCAACCTGGTGGCATATGGATGAATCTCACCAGGCCTTGATTTTGCACAGTAAAGACAATAACAACTGCCCTCGTCACTTCACGCTACTTAGATGGCACATGCACAGACTGCCTTAAAAGTGTAAAAGGATATCTCTGCTATCATGCTTATTAATTCCAACCAAGATCTAGAACTGGGTGAGCACCAGTGGCTCATGCTTGTAATCCTAGCTCCTCAGGAGGCTGAGTTCTGAGGCACACAGTTGGAAGTCAGCCCAGGCAAGAAAGTCTGTGAGACTCATCTCCATCCAGCCACCGAAAAAGTTAGAAGTGGTTCAAGTGAGTGGTGAGTGCCAGCCTTGAGCAAGAAGAAAAAAGAAAAAATCTCAGGGACAGCACATAGAGTTCAAGTCCTAGTACCACCAACAACAACAAAAAATCTAGAATTGGAGGTTTTTCCAAGAAGTTAAGGCACTGTTAGGAAAGCAGGATATTTCCAGGAAGAAAGAACACTGTGTGGGATCTCAGAGCCAGCTCTGTGGACAGACAGACATTAACTTCTGCAGAAATGGGTAAAGAACACATCTTCCAACTCCCCGAACAAAAAGACTGCTTCAAAGCAATCACATTTAGCAATCAGCCACCACTGGGGCCAGCATATTGCTCTTTGAGGAAATGACCACTGTTAACCATGGAGAAATAGGCTGGAACCTCCTAAAGCCTCGGGCCACCAATTCTTACATCCTGTGGCCCTCTCCCATGCTTTGATTTCCCCTCCCGGGTGTACTCATGGATCACTGAACTGGATGGAACTCTAGGAACCTCAACCCCATCGGGTTCCAAATCAGAGGCTGATAGAGATGTCTAATTAGTTTAAGTACTCCAAAGGAAAACAACGGGAAAAGAGAAGAGCCGGCGCTGTGTGCTTAGAGGACAAGCTGGGGCAGCGGAAATGCCTAAGACATAGCCAGTGTCCATCCACGTATCCCACCGAACTCCAAGTGGCCAGGCCCTTGCAGCCCACCACACGCAGCCACTCCCCAGCCTGAGCCCGCTGCTAGGAAAGGCACGAAGGGGCCCGGGCATCTCGGTGCTGACACACGAATCCGAACGTGGCTCTGGCGGTTTGGAGTTAGAATGATCTAGAGTTGGGAACTGGAGCTTCCGCAGTGACAGGCCCCTCCTGAGAGAATTCACTGTCATGTTCATCGTAGGGGACAGAGGAAAGGGGGTCTGGCAAGCACGAGCCTCCCGGGCTTCCAGGTGAAGGCGAGGGCGCTCTGTCCCCGGGTCTCAGCAGTAACATTCCTCCTTGTGCTTGGACAGCGGGGTTGGGCGCACGCGCTGTGCGGCAGGACTGTCTGGCCCCTCAGGCTAGCATCATGGGACTGCAAGGAACCGTGAGAATATTGGTTAGCTTTCCACCAGCACACAGGCGAGCCTGTGTCAAGGCCAAGCTTTCTGGCACACCTGTGGGGCCAGTTTACTCCCTTTCTTTTCAGAAGCAATGGAAAGGTCCTCGAAGAAGCTTCTTTCTCCTCCCTGCCCAACAAGCCACAGGTCCACTCTTGAGACATAGCCCACCAATAGCCTTCTTTCTCTAGGCTCCAAGTTGTGCACAACCCAGCATGTGCATTCATGTTTTGTGGAATATACACATAAGAACACACACAGACACACAGAAACACAAGCACACACACACAAGTGGAGGACTATTCAAGTGTCTTTTTGTGTTATTCTAAAAACATGCAAAACTGTCATGTGGCAAGAGGTAGAGTCAAAAGACATGGATTCCAGTCTCCATTGCAGGCAGAGGTCACAGAACCTCTCAGCACCTCAGTCTCCTCATCTGTGAGCAGGCAGTGGGGTCAGGAGGGCAAATGCTAACAGCCAAGCTTATGTCTAGGATGCCACGGCTTCTTTATTATTTAGACTGGCTATGTCCAAAAAGGGAGGAGGTTGAGGTCCAAGGGTCATGGTTCAAAGGCAGCTTGGGTAAAAAACTCAGGAAGACTCTTTTTATCTCCAATTAACCAGCAAAAAGCCAGAAGTGGAGTTGTGGCTCAAGGGGTAGAATGCCAGCCTTGAGCAAAAAGCCAAGTGAGAGCACAAGGCCTTGAGTTCAAGCTTCAGTACTGGCACCAAATTTCTTTTTTAATTTAAAAAGAAGGAATGCAAATCAAACCATATAGTTCTCCGCTGTTAGGAAGTTCAGGGGCAGAAAAGAATAAAATATTGGCCAAGCACCAGTGGCTCATGCCTGTAATCCTAACTACTCAGGAGATCAGGAGACAGATCTGAGGATTGTAGTTTGAAGACAGCCAGGGCAGGCAGTCTGTGAGACTCTTATCTCCAATCAATCACAGAAAAATCCAGAAGTAGAGCTATTACTCAAGTTGGTAGAGTGTTAGCCTTGAGCAGAAGAGCTCAGAGATAGAGTCCTGAGTACTGGCATAAATAAATAAATACAAAATATTGTATCCTGTATCATAGAATAACAGTCCTTCCTGGGTGTGATCAGTCTCCATGGCTATTTGGAGGACTTTCATATGAGCTCACATGAGACTGAGTCTCTTAATGAGATGGGAAGATTTGGACCATGTAAGTCCTGTGATCACTGAGCATAAGGTCTATTGAGGCTCCTAGACAGGAGACAGAGCAGCTGGGGGTACAGCTCAGCCCTCAGGGTTGTCAGACAGTTAATCACAGGGGCCCCTAAGCCTGAGCACAGCTGCTTGATAATTGGTACCCAGACCAAGATGAAACCAAAACCAGACCATTCATCTGAGCAAGTAGAACCTTCATGCTCAGATGAGCAGGCTTCTGAATAAACTGATCTGCTTCAAATCCTCACTCTGCCATCACGATCTGGGAATCTTGGGATAGTGACTTCATCTCCCTGAGCCTCAGTTTCTTTACTTGTATCTAAGGACAACAGTGCCCATCTCCTAAGGTCACTGGAGACAGAATGGGCACCTATGGATGTGCAGGATCACCTTCCAGTACCCAGTGAAGACAAGGGCTTGGGGGGAGACACAGAGGGAAAAGGCCTCCCTCCTCCTTAGCAGACATTTAGGCTCAGAGGGCACATGGCAAGTTCCCATGGAGGAGTCCATTACCGCCCTCCGTGATGTGGGCCTTCCTCCTCTGAAATTATGGGCTTTCCACATGGAGTAGTGAGACACTAAAGCCTTCAGTCTCAGTCAGCTCCAGCTCCACCCATGAGCATTCTGCTTCCCAGAAGGGAGAATCAGGCCTACTGACATCTGTCCACTCATACTTTGACCTTGACCCCACTCCTTAGTACAACCTGGTGTCCAGAAGGAAGCGAGGAAGGCTGGAACCCTCCCAAAGCCCTGGGAGCCACAGTGGAGATATCAGTCTAAGATGAAGGACATGGATGCCAACCCAAGAGATTTAGTGACTGAAAAGACCTCATTCCTGCAAGCCTATATGCAGTGAGCATCTAGAGAATGTGGTAGGGGTATCATTATCATGTAGGCCTCATGCCTGTAATCCCAGCTACTAGAAGGCAAAGATGGGGAGGAATGCAGCTCAAGGCCAGCCCAAGAAAAAGATAGTGAATCACCGTCTCAACAAAAAAGTCAGGGATGGTGGTACATGCCTAGTACTCCAGCTATGTAGGTAAGAGGATCACAGTCAAAGAACAGATCTAGGCAAAACCACTAGACCCTACCTGAAACATAATGAAATAGAAGAAGATCTAGAGACATGAGTTAAGTGATAGATTGCCTGCCTAGCAAGTTTGAGCCTCTAAGTTCAAACCCCAGTACTACAAAGATAACATAAAAGCAAAGAACAAAAACAAAACAACAACAAACACCAAAGAGCAGAGGAGACATTCATGCCCTCCATCACCCCATATTTTCTTTTCTTTTTTTTTTTCCTTTTTTTTTTCTTGCCTGGTTCTGGAGATTGAACTCTAGGCCTAGGAGCTGTCTCTTAAGTTTCTTTTGCTCAAGGCAAGTGTTCAACCACTTGAGCCATAGTGCCACATCTGGCTTTTTTGAGTGGTTTATTGGAGATCTTCAGATCTCAGCCTCCTGAGTAGCTAGGATTACAGGTGTGAGCCACTGATGCCTGGCCCCATATTTTCACTTAAGCATTTGTCTGCCTCCTCCCAGCAGAAGGTCAGCTCCATGAAGAAGGGCCCTTCTATCTGTTTTGTTTCTGCTACTTCCCAAGTCCACCCCCAGCACATGCTAGGTGATCGGCAAAGGTTGTAAGTAGACACAGAGAAAGCCTGGGTACCTGGTTTCATTTTTCATTCGCCAGCCATCTCGACACTTGTGAAACCAGAGCTCTTGGCCAGGGGAGATGCTGGTGTTCTCAAGGTCTTCTGCACAAAACGTCAATCTAAGAAGAAAGAGAAAACACTGATGTAGTCCAGGCTGTAGGGAGTACCAGGTAGTGCCTTCAGGATTCCACCAAATGAAAGGGAGAAAGAGAAGTTTCCATGCTGTCCCCAATGCCAGAGACTTCAGCCTGTTCCTCTCTACAGGACTCCCAACAGCCTCTCTATAACAGCCTTAGCCTTAATCACACCTCGCCTGCTGCCTCCTCTCACCATACAAGGTTGCTTGCCTCTTTTTGTATGAGTGTATGCCGGTACTGGGACTTGAACTCAGGGCCTCACTCTCTTGCTTGACTTTTTCACTCCGGATTGCACTCTACTACCTGAACCACACTTCCACTTCAAGATTTTTTTGTCAGTCATGAGGCTTGAACTTTGGGCCTGGGCACTATCCCTCAGCTCTTCAGCTCAAGGAGAGCATACGACCACTTGAGCCCCAGTGCCACTTCTGGTTTTCTGGTGGTTTATTGGAGATAAGAATCTCATGAGCCGGCACTGGTTGCTCACACCTGTAATCTTAGCTACTCAGAAGGCTGAGATCTGAGGATCACGGTTCAAAGCCAGCCTGGGCAAGAAAGTCCATGAGACTCTTATCTCCAATTAACCACAAGAAAACCAGAAATAACACTGTGGCTCAAGTGGTAGAGCATTTACCTTAGGCAGAAGAGCTCAGGGACAATGCCCAGGCCCAAAGTTCAAGCCCCATGACTGACAAAAAAGAGTCTCATGGACTTTCCTGCCCGGGCTGGCTTTGAACTGCAATCCTCAGATCTCAGCCTCCTGAGTAGCTAGGATTATTCTCACCTGCCACTTCAAGATTTTTGGTGGTTAATTGGAGATAAAAGTCTCGTGGACTTTTCTATGCAGCATAGCCTTGAACCTCGATCCTAAGATTTCGGCCTCCTGAGAAGCCAGGATTATAAGCATGAGCCACCAGTGCCTGACATGACTGCCTGCCTCTTAAAGTCATGGCATCTTGAAAACTGTCTTGTCTTCCTACCCACTGCCCATGACCCTAAGCATTCCTGCACCTCCCAATTTACCACAGATGCATTCCTCATATAAACACTGGCTTTTGCTATTACCATTATTCTTATGCCATGAAGTTAAAAATGAGCATCTTATTTTACTATAACCCCATGCCTCTTGAAACTGCTTATGGTGCGAGATCTGTGGTTGACTTCTCCCCTAGACTGCAAGCTACTTGAACAAAGGAATTTAAGGAGCCTCTAGGATCATGCTCTATACATAGCCATTGTCAAGAGCAAATGGAATTGGGCTGCAAATTACAATCAAAGGCTTAGTAAAAGGACACCTAAGGCTAGGCACCAGTGGCTCATGCCCTGTAATCCTAAGTACTCAGGAGGCTGAGATCTGAGGGTTGAGATTCAAAGCCAGCCCAGGCATAAGCTGGCTTCACAAGAGCTCTGAACAAAAAAGAAAGGAAGAAAGGAAGGAAGGAAGGAAGAGATGCACAATTAAGAAGATCACAGGATTAGGGCTACCATCTCTGAGACCCTCCAGTTCACTGGGGTTAAGACCAGAGGAGAGAATCCAAGGCTCCAGTTCACTCCCTCTGCTCCCAAGCCAGCCACAGATGATGGATAGAAACAAGACATGGGAAGAATTGTAATGGAGCAAGCATTAGAGGAGGGACAAAGAAGGTGGGAGCAGCTGCCTCCACACCCCGCCCCCAGCCCCAAGGCTGGCATTGGCCACTCTACAGTGGAGGGTAGGACTTGGATAAGAAAACCTCTCTGGACAAAGGTCTCCCAGGCCTTCCCGGGCCCCTATTGAGACAGAGGCTGCTCTGAGAGGCAGCACTGTATGAAGGGCTGACATAGAAAGGTCTGGATCTTTCATGCTAAGCTTGAAATGGGGAAGCTGCCAGCTGACTTGGCACAGAGAGCTCCCTGTCATTTGAAGATGGGACCCCAGCCCACATTCCGTATTGATACAGCCTCTGAAGGACACACACAGAGAGAGAGAGAGAGAGAGTAATGAGATGCTAAGCAAGAATGGGTCCTCTCCAAGACCCCATCTGTGGGACAGGGTCCTCCGGTTTGCCTCACAAGAAACTGATCAACCAGGCAGCATGCCTGAAAAAGCCCTGTCCAGGGCTGGGTAGAGTGCTTGCCTAGCAAACAGGAGGCTCTGAGTTCAAATCCTAGTACCACCAAAAACAAAATTTAAAAAAAAATCCCAAAAGCCTGGTCTAGAAGAACTGCCCTTCCTCCCCGCTCTCCCCCCCCCACCCCACAATAGATCAAGGGCTGAATTTCAGTTCCTACCCCACTCTCTTACCCCACTCAGCCAAGGGCCAGAATCCTTGATTAGAAAGCCAAATTTCCACATTGCAGAGTTGCTTGAGACTTGCGTCCATGCTCTGAATACAAACATTGTAGGTGACACGGGGCAAAAGAAAGATGTGGCAGAGACACAATGTGTCGGTAGATAGGTGGGCAGAGGGGTAGGAGGACTTACTTCTGCTGGGTTTCCCCAGACTTGACCCGAATGCGCCGGATGTGCAGCTCCCTGGAGGGGTTGCTGGGTTGAGACAGATAGCTGCGAAGCTCCTTCCACAGACTGTACCAGGACTGAGCTGTCCCCTCCCAGGTGAGTTTAATCTTCAAGAGATCACCCAAGTCCTCTTCAGTGTAGACCAGGAAGGTGTTGGTGGCGTTCAGGTTGATCTGATCCACGCTACAAAAGTGAGACAGAAATTTGTTCCACACTTTGCTATCTGGGAAACTGCCACACTGTGTGGGGTGACGTGGGGGAAGATCCTCCCTCACAACCGGAAAGAGGCATCAGGTCCCACCCACAAGACCAAGGACAGAGCTCAGTTGTGTTCCCACAGTCCCCGATGTCCTCTCAAAACCATTCCTGAGCATTTCAGCATTTGGAGTTCCCAGGGAGACAGGACCAAGAAGGAGCGTAAGTAAGAAACCGAGAAGTCACATCCCACACACCTGTGCTGTCCCTCTCCCCCACAGACATCTGTCTCCTGCCCAAGTCCTAGCCCTTTCCCATTTTGATTCTCCTGCCTCAGCTCCCAACTGCTTGGATTACAGGCATGTGCCACCAGACCTGGCGCTACGGTATTTCTTCACAATCCCAACATTAATTGGCAGGATGCCTGTCCCTGGTGGGAATCAGGGACACAGGGCCACATGCCCCTCCTGTATTGCATTAGTAGAGAAGCTCCAAGGATGACATTCATGAAGTTCCAGGTTTCCTAAAGCCTCGGGTGTCAGGCGTTGCCTGAACTGAAACAGCAGTTTCTGTATAGCTGATCCATTTATTTCCCATGCTGCTGATTCACCTCAGGAGCCTCCCTCCCAGAAACCTTCTGAGTCAAGGGCTTGAAGGAAAATGCACAGAGAAAGAGAGACCTCAGAGGCCAGCAAGAACCACCCAGTTCTTCCCTCTGGGCAATCTGACTACACTCTGCCCTTGTGCCAATGAGCCTTTGTGCCTTCTCTTGTCAGACCAGCTGGGTCTCTGTCCTGAACCAAAGTTGCAGATCACACAACTTACATTTCCAATGGTAGAGTCTGGGAGTCTGCATTAGTGCCATACAGGGTGACATAGAAGGTGGGCTCCAGTTCTCCCCTGTTCTTGTAACTGAAGATGTGGATTTTCATCTGATAATGGTAAACTGCAGACACGGCAGAACAAAGACATTTGTGAGTTTCACAAGCCTTCTCAGGGTCCATAATGAGTTATCTACCATACTGAGTTTTAGAGACTGATAACCTTTTGGTACAGTGCAACCTCCAACCTCCTTCTGTTCTCATTTTATCCAAGAGCATAAAACATCATGAAAGCATCAAATGAACTTGCGCATAAAAAGAGGTTTCGGGAATTTAGTTCAGGTTCTTTCTAGCTGTGTGATCCTGGATTAAAGAACACAATATCAATGTCTCTGAGTCTCAACTTCCTCTTGCACAAAATCCATAAAGCACAATGGTTTTGCCAGGCACTGATGGCTCATAATTGTAATCTTAGCTATTCAGGAAGGTGAGATCTAAAGAACGCCATGAAAAGTTAGCCTGTGCAGGAAAGACTGTGAGACTCTTATTTATAATTAACAAGTCAAAGCTGGAAGTGGAGTTGTAGCTTAAGTGGTAGAGTGACAACTTTGAGGGGAAAAAGCTAAAGGAGATTTCTCTGGCTAAGTTCAATCCCCAGTACTGACACAAAAACAAGAAAATGTGGTTTTATAAAATGTTATAAAAATGTAATCCATTGATCTTCCATTCATTCTGCTTCACATTTTGTTGAAATCAAAGGAGAAAGCAACTTTGAAATAGTGTTGGAGAGTTCAATAAGATAAAATTTAAGCTACTTATTCAATAATTGTGGGGTCATAAACGGTTCCTCACCATTATACACCGTGATCTGATCTACAATACTTGGTATAATTGAGCTGTTCAGTAGCAAGGTACTAAGGAGGAGGAGAAAGACAAAGGGGCCCCCTGTGGCTGGAAGATTACCTCTGAAAGGCATGCCTGCACGAGTTTTGAGGTACATTTTGCTGTTCCTCTTGTTTCTCATTTTTTTAACATTGTAGCCAATGCTATTACAACGATTCTTCCGGCAGCTGAGACAGATCCCCTTTTTGAAACGGTTGGAGTCCGTGCACTGGAAGGCAAAGCTTGGCTTGTCCTGATTCACCAGGGAGTCAACAAAGAGATGTACAGCTCGCTCATGCTCACATTTCACCCCCTCTGTGATTGCTGGAGAAGTGGAGGAGAAACAAAACATGCAGAACAAGCCTCCTCTGGATGATTACAATGTTCAATCAACAATTACTAGACACCTCATCAGTGAAAGCTGTGCTTAGTGAAGCTGTTAATAAGGTGCCTGTGATATGCTAGGCTCTTGTGAAGGGAAAGGATTTATGAACATTCCAGCCAGTAGCTGTTTTCTCTCTTGATTAGAAGACATCACTAATACACAGAGAGAGATAAAGAACAAGAGGGGCTGGGAAGGTGGCTCAGTGGTAGAGCACTTGCCTTGCATGCATGAGGCCCTGGGTTCGATTCCTCAGCACCACATATGCAAAAAGAAAAAAGCCGGAAGTGGTACTGTGGCTCAAGTAGTAGAGCGTTAGCCTTGAGCTGAAGAGCTGAAGGAGAGCACCCAGGCCCAGAATTCAGGCCCCACAACCGGACCCCCCCCCCAAAAAAAAGAACAAGAGAATTCTTGTAAGGGCTAAACAGAAGGATGTAGATATGTGTGTGGTACAGTCACCAAGTCCTAACAGATCTATATGGTTAGAAAGTGCAGAAAATGCAACAAATGCTACCCTTCATCTCATCCAGGCTCAGCAAATTATGGATATGATGGCTCCATACTTTTGTAAATGAAGCTTTACTGGAACATAACCATCCATATTTCATATTTGTTGGTTTATGTATTCTCTATGGTTGCTTTCATGCTATCACAGCAGAGTGGAGCTGAAAGAAAGTCCTATAAGCCTACAATATTTACTGAGTAACCCTTTAAGAAAATACCAGCATCATTTATTCCAATCCCTTCAATTACAGACCCAAAGGCCCTTAGAGATGAGACAATTTGTTCAGGGTCATGGAGATACTTGGTTGTCAAGAAGATAATTGGAACCAGGTGCTGCTGACTCACACCTATAATCCTAGTGAATCAGGAGGCTGAGATCTGAAGATTCCAGTTCAAAAGCCAGCCCAGGTAAATCCAAGAGACTCTGATCTCCAGCAAAAAAAAAACAGAACTGCAGGTATGGTTCAAGTGGTAGAGCATCAAAAGCCAAGTGAGAGGATGAGGTCCTGAGTTCAAGCCCCAGCACAAGCACAAAGGGAAGAGAGATGGACGGAGGAAAAAAAGAAGGTAGGAAGGTAGGTAGGAAGGAAGGAAGG